GAGACAAATTTTTAAAAAGCTCAGTTGAGAAGTCCTCTTGTATTTAGTGTTCTTGCTATAATTTTAAGTAACATTGAAATTTTATGCTAAAGTTCTGTTGGAATAAAACTTTTAGCTCTTGTCCATACAAAAATCAAAAGCTTCAACTTAACAGAGTTAAGAGCTTGATTTTTGACACTGTTATTGGGAGTATAAATTCTAGAATCATCTATGTTAAATTTTAGAGTTTGTTCAAGATTACAATCATCTCAGTCGATAACTATAATCGTGTTTTGAAATTATTAAAATTTATTAATAAAAATTTATAATCGTGTTCTGAAATAAATTATTAAAATTTATTGAAATTATTGAATGATCAAAAAATCTATTTAACTAAAGAAAGTTAATAAAAATTTATAATCGTGTTCTGAAATAAATTATTAAAATTTATTGAAATTATTGAATGATCAAAAAATATATTTAACTAAAGAAAGTTAATAAAAATTTATAATCGTGTTTTGAAATAAATTATTAAAATTTATTGAAATTATTGAATGATCAAAAATTCTATCTAACTAAAGAAAGTTAATAAAAATTTGTAATCGTGTTCTGAAATAAATTATTAAAATTTATTGAAATTGTTAACTGAATTAATATTAAATTGAATGATCAAAAAATTTAATTAACTGAAGGAAGTTAATAAAAATTTTATAATTGAACTAAGTACAATTTTGAATAAACATATTTTAGTTAAGTGTAAAACTTTATTTGTTTTATTTCTACTTTAATTCACTTTACGCGTGCAACACGTAACTAGATAAATTAGGTAAAATAGGTGTTACCATTGCAAAAGTTTTATAGGACGTTTAATAAATAAATAAATATATTTGAAAACTTTTAACTTAAAATAATAAATAGGTGTAATATATAAGTAAATAAATATTTATATAGATGTAGTGCAAAAAAACCCCAGGAAATTGAAATTTATGTAATGTAGGCCTGCATGAAAAGAGAAAAATTAGATATATAGTTATTAAGAATGCAAACAAGATGTTGCCTCGGGCTAACCGCGATGTCCAGCTCCTCTCCAGGTAGCACTAGTTACGTCCACCAGTAACACTAGAGATCGGGTGCTACGCCAACAGCACTATCACATTTTTTTATATACTTATAGATGCAATATTTTTATTGTACATATAAAATTGACTAATTTGTTTGTGAGTAATAACAAAGTGCATTGCTCACACATTGCAAAAGAAATAAATGTGTAAAAGCTTTTGTACATTTTTTGTTTTAATCAAATTGACAGCAAAAGCTTTATGAGTTGTAAAGAACAATGCTGCCAGAGCAATGTACAATGGAAGTATTAAAATAAGTTATAAAAGGAAAAAAGTAGGTAATGCAGGTGGGGCGTTCGGAATGTACAAAAGAAAAAAACAATATTAACTGAAGGTTCAAAGAACGACCTCCAAAAGTGTACGGGATGAGTTTACAACGGGTGAAATTACGGAAAGATGATAGATATAAAAAGGAAAGAGTGTTTGCTAGCGGCCTTCTTGAAAATTATTTGAACGGTGACGGTCGATGTCCGCGAGCAGTTAGAAAAGTTTTTTTATTGGTGCAATTTAAAATATGTGATTGAAATATATTAAATAATAAATAAAGTGGATATTTAAAAATAAAATACCAAAATAATGAATACTGAATTGAATACTGTAAACGATTATAATGGATAATTGTGTTATATTAAATTATTAAAAATATTCAGTGGAACAAAAAATGTTAAAAATGACAATAGCATTTTTTTTGCAATGGACTGTACATATGGTGTGAGAAATTTAATAAGTTAAAACTACATAAAGTGCACTTTTATATGCAAGTTAGACATATGTACGAATGTACGAAAGCAATATTCTTTACGCTTTAAACGTTTAATTTATTCTTAAAAATCGGAGGCTTAAATTATCGCTAAAGAAAACTAAAAAGTTCTAAACTAATATTTAAATATTCTTTACGCTTTAAACGTTTAATTTATTCTTAAAAATCGGAGGCTTAAATTATCGCTAAAGAAAACTAAGAAGTTCTAAACAAATATTTAAATATTCTTTAAGCTTTAAACGTTTAATTTATTCTTAAAAATCGGAGGCTTAAATTATCGCTAAAGAAAACTAAAAAGTTCTAAACTAATCTGTCCACATAACTGATGGCCATAAATTGAAAACATCCCTATCTCAGTGGCATGAATAAGGCAGCAGCAAAGAACAACAAGTGAAAAGTAAATCCACCGGATGAAGAATTAGTTACTCTAACTGATCCCATTTTACAAATGAATGGCACATCACGCAATGATCTTATTGACTATGCAGAATCTGTAGAAGCTTCACAAGAAAGCAGCAACAAGACAGCAGAAACAACAACAGCTAAGTGGCGAAAAATTCATTATTTCACATGATTATCATTTATAAAAATTTTTTTTAATAATTATTTTATTATATAATTTTCATAATTTTTATTATTTTTTTATTATTATTGAATTCTTATATCATTTATATCATTTATAAAAATTTTTTTTTAATAATTACTTTACTATATAATTTTCATAATTTTTATTATTTTTATTATTATTGGATTCTTAATATTTAATTAAACTAATTGTTGAAACAGGAGTCAGAAAGAAAAAAAAGGGGAAAAGAAACATTTAAACTTGATATATATATATGGGTACATAGGCAACAACCAATATACTATGAAAGTACTTAAGAGTATAGATAGAAAGAGAGTCTTAGGTTTTATTTTAATTACAGGTGACGTCACCAACGTGGAGGCGATTCGTAAATAAGAGTAGCTGGATAAAAAAAATGCTACTTGTAATGATCCTCTCTTTGTTTGTTTATCTTTTTGCTTATTTTCTTTTTCTCTTTGGGTTTTTTTACTCTTGATTTATTTTGTTAAATATTTCTAATATTATTTGAATTTGTTCATTATTTTCTTATATTTTTTTTATTTAATATTTCTTTTATTTTTGTCATGTCAATAACTTCATTTACATAATTATATTTAATAAAATGAACTTTGTTAGTTATTTAAGCTTAGTTTAAATACCTTTTTGCTTATTTTCTTTTTCTCTTTGGGTTTTTTTTTACTCTGGATTTATTTTGTTAAATATTTCTAATATTATTTGAATTTGTTCATTATTTTCTTATATTTTTTTTTATTTTTTTACGTAATATCTCTTTTATTTTTATCATGTCAATAATTTCATTTATATAAATTATATTTAGTAAAATGAAGATTGTTAGTGATTTAAGTTTAGATTAAGTAATTGTAACTCAACATTTATTTTTGTTTGGTTTGATTCAACCAAAAAAAAATATAAGTCATTAAAATCAATAATTTTTTTTGTTTTGTTGAAAGGTTATTTAAATATATTATATAGAAAAGAACAAATTCCAACATGATGTCTGGCTAGGGATATATTAAGCTCAAAAGGGTAGTACAGGGTCATGTTATGAGGGGCGTATAGGAGTAGAATGAAATAGACTGCTTATGAAGATAGAACAGTTGACAGGACTGAAAGACTTGAAAAAAAATTACTAAATAGAACTAGATAGAATTTGTCAGTGGCACGATGTTTTTTTTTGTTTGTTGTCAGCCGGTGGCCAATAGTTGCCAAGAACTTACACCCAAAAACGGCGAGAATACCGGGCCTGCCAGCGTGCCATGCTAGTCTTTTAGAACCACCTTAATCACAACATGGCTGACATAACATTTACTTCACCTCAATTTACTCGAACTCACATGCGGTCTCAGTAAATAAATGTCTATTGTCTGTTTCATAATAGCCACTTTGTCTGTTTCATTTCATAATAGCCACTTTTGTAACTCGAGGTAAATTTTTTGATAATCATACATAAAACGTGTGTTATATGGCCTTACACTGGCCTCAGATGGATTTTTTTTGGTCAAAAATAAAAAATGCACCCATAATCACAAGCGCAAATGAGATCCATTGGATCTCATTGCTTAAAAGAGTTCCAACGGGGTAAGAATGAGTTCTAAATATATTACAAATACAAATGAATACATTGAACATACCCTAAATAAAAGGTTTTTATGGCATTTTGCAGGTGAACAAATGTGTTTCAAATTTGGGTTGCATATCCTTGAAAACGATGCACCTCTTTTTGGAACTTCTACTTTCCAAAAATAAATTAATCGAAGCTAATAATTAGTTTTCAGTTTACATTGAAAGGTTTGAAGGCATATTTGACCTTCATTCAACATTTTTTTTGGTACAGGCCAAGAATCAAATCAATAGACAAGTTCGAAAAACTCAGAGATCAAATGAATTATAACGAATGTAAACACTTTTAAAGAGGCCCTTGATATGAGCCATTTGAGGCCAGAGTAAATGCATTATTAAAACATTTTATTGTTATTGTTTTTCGACAACACAATTTTAATTTGCAATAGTGGTGCCAAACTTCGTTACTTTTACGTGTTTGTAACTACCCGTTACTTTTCGAGTATGTATTCGTTACTCAGTATTCGTTAATCCGCTTTCGTTACCGCATTTTCGTTACTGTGCTTCCGTTACTGAAGCTTAAATGCTTTTTTTCGGCAATAAAAGGAATTTTTAAAAGCATATATATTAATTATAATAAACTATAGATTTAATAAATTAAAATAATTATATAAATGAATTGTTTGATCCGCATAGTTTGCGTTTAGCTTATCATCTCCTACTAGTTTCAAATGAATCCAAATTTCATTTTTTTATATTAATATTTTTGAACATTTTTAATGAATTTGATAGCGAACAAAAATTTTGTTCAAAATAAAGTAGTTATTATTATACCGCAAAAACATTACTTAAAAGTAATCGTTACCAAGTACTCGAAAGAGTAGTTATAACAAATACTACTCATTGGTAAAACGCTTAAAAGTAACGAATACAATAAAAAGTTTGTATTCGTTACTCAGGTATTTTTTGAGTAACGAATACAAAGTAACGGATAATTACATTTTTGGCACTACTAGTTTGCAATGGAGTTGCCGTTCTTGTAAGGTATTCTTTGTTGTAGTAACGTTGCTATCTAAAAGTTAATCGAAATTATTTTGTTTGCATGACCATTTCAGTTTCCTAATCATACTGCGGGTGTGAAGTTTTAAATTCCGGTATTATGGCAAGTACGCAGTGTCGAGGCAATGCTGCCGTTGTAGTTTTAGGTGATATTGGTCGGAGCCCTAGAATGGAGTATCATTGTTTAAGTTTATTAGAGGAAAATTTTAATGTTGATGTTATCGGTTATGTTGAAACAAACCCTCTATATGCTATTAGAAGAGGATATCCGAAATGTAAAATACATGAACTTTCGCCAGTCCCAATAACGAATCTAATACCAATTTTGAAACTATTTTTTAAAGCAATTTGGCAAACTATAAGTTTATTAATTGCATTAATGTCTATCAGACGCCCAGATTTCTTACTTGTGCAGAATCCTCCGTGCGTGCCTGCGTTGTTAGTTTGTTATATATATTCTGCTGTTACACGTTCCAAGTTAGTCATCGATTGGCATAATTACACTTATACTATATTAGGATTGTCAGCTGGTGAAAAAAGTTTTTTGTGTGGGATAGCAAAGCGGATTGAAAGATTTTGTGGTCAAAAAGCGAATGCTAACATTTGTGTAACAAAGGCTATGAAGTGCGATTTACAGAAAAATTGGAACATTAGGTAAATCGGTTTATTAACTATGCACATTCATTACAGAAATCATATGTTGTATTTGTTCATAAATCAAAGATTTTTGCCAATGTTCTGGTTTCATTAGTTTTAATACATTTAAATTCTTTCACAGAGATATAACAGTACTATATGATCGACCTTCAGCTCGATTTCACTCCATTGATTTATGTAGGAAACATGAAATATTTATGAAGCTATCAAAGGATTATCCGCAGTTCCTTCCTAAATGTTATTCTGACCTTAAAGAATGTGGAGTTATTGAATCAACGGCATTTACTCAGAAGCAAGTTAATGGTAAG